CTTTTAAATTTCACCCTGATTTTTTTAAAAAAATATTCGTCACAATAATCTGACCCTTTTATTTTCGTTCATTATCACCACAGACCTTGGGCGATTACCGCCCCACCCTGCATTTTCCTACTGCATGCACGATTTGTACGGTTCCTCCGTCTAATACCCTTCGCTACTGGGCCATTGTTCCGACCCCTTCTTCTTCTTTTCTTCTTCACAGGGCCTTTTAGGCCCGTACCGCCTTTTGTAATGATTTATTGGATTAGATTTTAGCAGATTAGCATGGATATCAAATAACCTTGCGTTTGCGCCTGAACTTTCAGCCTCCAGCGATCGGCAAATTGATGAAGAAATGTTGCTGAGGTGTTCCCGGATATGTCGGTGTCTGCCAGTAACACCGGGAAAGTTTCGCCTTCCACCTGGGTTGTCTTTGTCCCAACATAAGTAGCACCAAAACGATATCCCGTATTCTGTGGTGATATGCTCAGCGTATGTGTAACCTATAATAAAAACATTTCACGCAAACTACTAAAAAGCCCTCTCAAGAAATCCACCAACATCAATCCCTGTGCGCCAATGTTGTAATAAGTAGATTTACTTGATATTTCACAAACCAAGTGTTTCCTCAATAATTAATTACCCTCGTTACATCATAATTAATTATAATGTGATATCATGATTATCTTATGATACCGTGATTATCTTATGATACCATGATTATCTTACAATATGATATCATGATTATCTGAACCAGGGATATGAGGCTTCGATGTTAATGAAACACATACAGAAGCTGTGCACAACTGTGCCACATCTTCCTAACCAAAGATTCGTCCCCAAAAAAGTGAAGAGTGGTTCAGGAGGAAAAGAATGGGGAAAAGTACCACTGAGAAAAATTTTTAAATAATAATACAAAATACGTCCACTAATTTTCCCTGACTTTTAACTATGCATTACTTTTCAAAGCCTCCCTTCCCCCCTCCCCCCCCCTCCCCCGACAATCTTTTCCTACAGAAATGATCCTTACCTTCACCTGTGACATCCGGAAACTGGCAACCTACCATAAGCACTTCTATGAAAGTAGAAAGCAGTACGGGCCGAAAACATTATCGCCTAATATATCAAATAATGATTAATGGTTTCTGTTAAAAACAGATCAAAGATCAACTGCGCTATTATGACACAGTACCCCTGTCCCTGGTTTCAAACTTTGACTACTTTACCCTCATTAAACTTTCGACCTTTGTCCCCTGGGGTATAAAAGCACTCCTCCCCGTCGCCGGGATCTTCATTGTTTTATCTATCCTGCCCGCTGCACCAGCATTGTTTTAACTATACTCCTATTCTGTGGAGCTTCGGCTCTCCAGAGCCTCACCACGTTTAATTGTATTCTCGTTTAACATGTATTCTTGCTTTATTATAAATATGTATATAGGACGCGACGTCTTACACACACATACAAACGGGCCACACACTAGTCTAATAAGCTAACAATCACGGTCGCGATAACATGAACAGAGGCGAAACCCAAAATTATGATAAGAGCTCACCTCCTCAAGAAATAACTAGAAGGATGTGGACGTTCATTTAATGCCTACAGACCCGTGCATCGCTACAGACTAAGTTGCCAAAGTTTTAACTTTATAATTTTTGTGGGTTTTGAGGATGAAATTTAAGACCAAAGTTACCAATGCACCAAAGTACAGCATATGCTTTTCTACAATATGCGTTTTTTGAATTGCATTTTTGCCTTCCCAACATCTTGCGCTGAATATAAGAAACATACAGAGACGCACAGACACACATACACACACAACCCCTCGACAATATGCATTTTTGCAATTGCATAGATTATCGCGACCCTAATTGTTACCTTGTTAGACTAGTGTGTGCCCCGTTTGTATTTGTGTGTAAGACATTGCGTCCTATATACATATTTATAATAAAGCGTGAATACATGTTAAACGAGAATACAAATAAACGTTGTAAGGCTCTGGGGAGCCGAAGATCCCCAGAATAGGAGTATAGTTGAAATAAAATAGGTGCAGCGGTCGGTAGATAAAACAATGAAGATTACGGCGATGAGGAGGAGTGCTTTTATTCCCTAGCGGACAAAGATCGAAAGTTTCATGAGGGTAGGGTGGTCAAAGTTTGAACCAGGGACAGGGGTATTGCGTCATAGTAATGCAGTTGGTCTTTAATCTATTTTTAACAAAAACCATTAATCATTATTTGATATATTACGCAATAAGATGCAAAAAAACGAACACATCCAAGCACTGCTGTCCTAGCTGTACCAGTGTGTGTAACTTACATGAAAATGTGAGGAGAATGGTTTGGTGAGCATCACTCGAGCCCCATCAAAACACATTGGGAATATTTCGCGGCATTTTCGATGCAAGTCCTCCAGTGAGCCAGGGTTGTTGCTTGTGGTGGCCGGGGCTGTGGCAGTGCTTTTCTCTGTACTATTGGCCAAATTATTCGCTGGGGCACCGGCTGGAGCAGTAGCTGCTGGAGCTGCTGTCGACATCAAGTTGCTGCTGCTGCTGTTGCTCCTGAACAAAAAATGAACATTAAAACCCCACAAAAATCGTAAAAAAAATCGTAAAAACAAGTAAATTTGAGATAACCCAGACTGAAAATTCACTACAAAATCATGAAATACACGTGAAATGTACTCCAGCAGAGACATTTTTCTTTTTTTCTGGCTTTTTCCGCTTCTCTCCCTCCTCCCGCCTCCAACCCTCCCCTCTCCGTTCCCTTCTCCGAGCTCTCAAAAAGTCTCAGGTTTCGATCCATTCCCAATAATATAAGTGTCCTTCCTGGCACCTACATTACTGTGGAAAATCTGAGTCAGAAGTTTTGCCAAACTGGCCACGTATGTAACTCAACTTTTAATCTTGCGTATCCCGGTCCACTAACC